GGGTTGTGAGCTTGGGCTCTAGCCCTCGGCTCTCGCCTCTGTGCGTGGGCACTTCGGCGCCAGGCTCTTGCAAGACTTCCTTGAGCATCAGTCAGTTTCCTCATGCTGCGTAAACAACAGTTCTTGGCGAACGCGTGGTCTAATCGGAATTTTCCCCCTTCAGCTGCCTCCCTGGCCTGTTGCCTGGCCTGCCAGTCACCCAGAATGCCCTGTCCCACCTTCTTCCTGCACTCCGCCCCATCCTCCGAGCCCGTGGTTTTCCCTGAGCCTCCCCAGTCATTTGTTTGGATCAGGTTAATCCACGGCGAGGCACCAATTTGCCTGCGCACTGATCGGATTTGGCCGTCTCTCTTGCGCCTCTCTGATATATGCAAGTGTGGTTAATCACAGGTTCTTTTCAGCTGTCTGGTTAATTTCTGCTCTTGCTATGCTGCTTTTCCTGTCCCTCCTGGTAGGAGAGGCCTGAGGTGGGCGCTGGGCCTGGGTGTGCTTCGGAATGCGTTCCCTCCTGAAAAGGCAAATGTTGTCTTTTGGAAGAGGCATGAGGCATGGCTTGGATTTACAAACTCAGCCTCTGCAAGCAAGGCCCAAGTTTGGCACCAAAAGGACAGTGTGGGGCAGGGCAGGAACAAACTTCATCAGCTTCACTGCATTTTCCAAGTTGAGGATGACCCCACCTCTCAGAACGGCCCCCCATGCCCTCTCTGGTGCATGCTGGTGCTGTTGGTCTGCACAGCCCCTCTGTGTCAGCGTGGGCCGAGTTCACAGGGCCCACCGTCACCACTGGCAGCACCCTAGTTGCCCCAATTCTCTGAACCACACTTTCTTCATCTTAAAATCGAGATCTTACTGGTCCCACCAACCTCACAGGGGTTCAAGTGAGGTGGCATTCTCGCAAACCTCCTAAAGGCTGCCCTGTGCTACCCTGAGAGGATGATTGGAGGGCCTGCCATGTTCTGAGTGCATAGCCACGCAGCGCTAGGACGCTGGCTGGGCCACCTATACTCTTCTGAGCCTCGGCCACGATGCCAACCCTCTCGGGGCTGGTGTGCGGACCAGTGAAGTCTCCCTGCAGCAGTGCCTGTGAGCTGCAAGGATCTCTGTTGTTCTCATCCTCCGTATCACTCAACGGAGATTTGGGTCTACCAAGTTAATTATTATTAAGTATCAAATAATAGTTCGTTTATGTTTACCATTTAAAACAATTCATCATAAAGATATAGCATTTTTTTTTTCTGAGACAAGATCTTGCTCTGTTGCCTAGGCTAGAGTGCAGGGCGTCATCATAGCTCACAGCAACCTCAAACTCCTGGGTTCAAGTGATCCTCCTGCCTCAGCCTCTCAAGTGGCTAGGACTACAGGTGCATGCCACTATGCCTGGCTAATTTTTCTATTTTTTTGTAGAAATGGGGTCTCGCTCTTGCTCAGGCTAGTCTTGAACTCCTAGTCTCAAGCCATCCTCCCACCTCAGCCTCCCAAAGAACTTGTATTGCAGGCATGAGCCACCACGCCTGGCTGAGATAAAGAGTTTCTAATTGGAGCTCCTGAGTTGATGCAATCAAACCATGTAGCCCCAACAAAGCTGCACACAGTGACAAAGACACAAGTCTCATTAGGCTTTTTGAAATAGGTAATGTTGTCTCATTGGTTTTGAAAGCCTTTGGGATTACAGAGCTCAGGACTAGCACCTCTAGCTTGTACAAGTATAGGAGATTGTTACTGCTACTACAAGTGTCATACAAATGGCTCTCCTAAGTGTCTATTTGTGCAGGGCCTGTGCAGAGTGAACCTGTTCTTTGAGGTCTTTGAACCTCAAAGGTGGAGGGCAGCATACAGCAGGTTTTTACATTCTGACAGGTGAGAGGTTGGTGAGCCCCTTGTGCCCACAGTGTCAGGCGGGGCCCAGGAGACTGCCTCTTGCCTCCAGACAGCCCACGTGGCCAGGGATGATCCCTCCTGTATGTTTGAGGAGGAATCCAAAGGTATTTATACATCATCTGCCACAAGGCAGGTACTGAGCCAGGTCCCCATGGTGCCGGGTGAGCGAGGCATAGAAGAGCCCTGTCGTCAAGGTGCCGTGGTTAGTAAAAGGACAGATGCCGTGTGGCAGACAGTCTACAACCTCTCTTCAAGCTCTGATGAAACAGGCAAGGCAAGTATTATGCCCCTTTGACAGATGAGGAAACTGATCAGGGAAACCAGGTGACTTGCTCAGTGGCAAAACAAGTTAATAGCGCTGCACGGGCTTACCAGCTGGTCCCCAGCTCTGGCCACTGGCAGTGGGTGAGCATCCTGACCCTGAGGCCAGACCCACCTCGCCTCAGCCTGACGAGCACTCCCTGCTGAAGGCCTGTCTTGCCATGTCTCCCCCAGGACCAGGCAGCCAAGGACAAGGCCCTGCAGAGCATGGCTGCCATGTCGTCCGCACAGATCATCTCCGCCACAGCCTTCCATGGTAGCATGGCCCTCGCCCAGGGCCCAGGCTGCCCAGCAGTCTCAGGGGTAAGTGGGTTGATGAGAGCCAGAGGCCAGACCAGCCCTCTCCTCCCTCCTCCCACTTCAGAAGAGCCAGAAGCATTGGCTGGTCTAAATTTTTCTCAGGACAGGAAATGGGGGAAGGAGGGAACAAGGACCAGGGGCCTTGCTGAGTCACAGCTCTGGCGGTATTGTAACCACCTTCTTGGGGTCCTCAGCAGTGCCTCAGCAGACCTTTCACAAGGGGAAAAGGGGTTGTGCCCATGAGCTGGCCAACCGGTAGCTCTGCAGAGTGAGCCCAATTTACAGATGAGGAAGCTGAAGTCTGCGGCCTGGGCACAGCACGGGCTTGTCCCTGAGCAGCCTGTGCCACTTGACCTCATCCCTGCTTCTCCTCCCAGGGACTCAGACCTGCCTTCCTTCCAGGCGGAGAGCTGATGTCCAGGAACAAACCCTTGCTTGGATTTTAAATTTCTTGGCTATAGGCAGGTTGGCCACACTTGCAAAGTGGTCCAGAAAGGCTCCTCCTTCCCAGAGCTGCCTCCTCACGGGGCTTTCTTGGCTCTGGGCACTAAGGCATGCCCACAGCACCGCCCTAGGCGTGTGGGAGGGCAGCGCCGGGCCCTGAGCTCACCCAGCGCTTTTCAAAGTGTGTGCCAGGGAGCAGCCCAGCGCACGGTAAGTAGATAAGACACGGAATGATTCTTTAGAAAAGTGAGTTTGCAACACTTAGACTTAAGTAGCTTGCGTGACTCCAGGACTCTTCAGAGCCTTAAGTGCCGAGCGCGTCGTGGATCTCTCCGGGAGGGACACAGTGCGCAGCCCCGGCCAGACGTAGCTGCTTGTTCCACGGAGCACCTTGTCCCCAGAGCCTTTCAGGGACTAGATCTCCTTAAAACTGGCTTTGGGGACCCTGCTGTAGCCCGTTAACATTCACCAGCTGGACAGGGGCATTGACCTCCCTCCCTCCCCCTGCCGGGCTCAGGCTTCCACCTCCCTTCCGGTGGAGGCCCTGCCTGGTCTCCCCCACGCACGGGCCTGGGTGCATGCTGTGCTGACTCTGCACTTTTTACCTCCTCAGTTTTGGCAAGGAGCTTTGCCGGGCCAAGCCGGAATGTCCCATGAGTGAGTATGATCTGGTTTCTGATACCAGTTGCTCCCTGAACTGAACTTGAACCCATAAACTCATGAAGTTGAGCCTGGCCTCCAGGGTGGGATAGGGCCACAGCTGGGGGTGGGGTTAACCTTGGGGGACAGCCTTGAGCTTAGGGACTTGGCTGTCCTGCTCTCAGGCATCACTGGGCTCAACCTGTGGTGTCAACACCCTGGGGTGGCATTTGCCAAAACCCCAGTCTGTCCAGGATGTAGGCAGGGCCAGAGTGTGGGGCCCAGAGGGAAGGGGGCTGGGACTCAGACCTCTGGCTGACCTGGGGGTGAGGGGTGGGGGTGGGTTCCCCGACAGACATGCTGCTTCTGCAGATCTGCCACAAAACGCGAGGGAGCTGGCAGGGGAGGGAGCAGGAGGCCAAAGCCCACCAAGGCCACTGATGGCCAAACCACAAAGGGCATCGGACCCTGCTTGAGGCTCCGGGCGGCAGCCTGCCCGTGGCAGACACCCTCTCCTCTCTCCTGCAGCGTGAAACCTTTCTCTCAACAAACCTATGCTGTCCAGCCTCCGCTGCCTCTGCCAGGTGGGTCAGCAGTGCATGTGCCTTGCATGTTGCAGCCCTGTGGCTCCTGTCCCAGGCACCCGATAGCTGGATGCCTACATGCCCCTCTTAGGTGCTTCCCTGTTGTGTCCCGAGACCATACAGCCGCTCTCCTGGCTACTGCCCATTCTTTGCCCCCAGCATGCACACCTCTGCCATTTTCCAGGCCCTGGGACACTGTGGGGACAGCATGGCTTGCTCTCCGCCCAGCAGGTGAAGCCCGGAGGGGCCAGGGCCAGTTGGGTTTTTGGTTCTTCTTTTTATTTTGTTGGCAGCTGGCCAGGTCTGCCAGGCCCGAAACAGTTGGGTAAGGGCAGGGCAGAGCCATCCAGGGAGCCCCTAGTGTGTGGGCGCACATATGCAACAAGGGGTGGGCAGGTCGGAGAGCTGCCGACACCCAGGCCACTGCCTGTGAGGCTGCGATTGTCCCACAGACGCTGGCCCGCTGGAGGGGACCAATCGCGAGGCCCCAGGGGGGCAGGAAGGG